CGCACGCAGCTCCAGCCCCGCCCACACGCCACCCGGCCGCAGCTCCTGCCCCGCCCACACGCCCGCAGCTCACGCACGCACAATGGAAGCGACATCCGCCGGGACCGTGAACAGCACGCCGCTTTCCGGGACCTCGTCCACTCCTCCCCCAGCCAGGTAAGAAATCCCCCGAAAATAAGACCTAGTGTCTTATTTCGTGCAAAAAAAATAAAATAAGACAGTGTCTTATTTTCGGGGAAACACGGTATGTAGGATAGTTGCAATACGGCCAATGGACACTAGATGTCCCCATAGGACCCTGTAGGTAAAGTAGCTCTGAGTAGCCTGAGGAAGACTCTGTGTTCCAGGAGAGCACTGATCAGTGTGGTGCCCATACAGCTTTCAATGGAACCGCGCTGATCAGCATGGTTTTTTAATTGCGTTTCACCACTGAAACGCAGTTTAAAACCTCCCTTTTTAAATTAGCGCGGAAACCGCACTGATCCGTAGCCGCCCTGGTGTGAATGGGCTCTAAGTGTGCAGTGATTATTCTCAGTCACCTGCTGTGCTGAGTGTTCACCAGTAGAATGTGCTAGAGATAATGCTTCACATTAAAGCAGATCTTTACCCCGATCTTTAAAATAACAACAAACACACAATGTTCAGTAATGACAACCTACAAACACAGACTTCTAGATAATTGCCGGCTTTGTATTCTTTGCATTCATTCTTTATCTTTTCTTCTAACAGTGGTCATGTTTACTAAGGGCAGATTACTAGCTCTCCTTTTACTACCTGGATGCCTGGCACATGTGACTAGACATGTGACTAGGATATGCGACAATGCACATAAACCTCAGGGAAGGAAAATGCCTTTGCCTGAGATCTCGGGAGATTACAGATGAGATTCCCCAGCAATGCTCTGCTGATGACAAGGCAATCCCAGTGTGCATTGCTTTGGCAAACTGAAGTCATTTTGCCCTTTCAAAGCAGGAAGTGAACGCTCTGCAAGTGTAAGTATTCCACAATCACAGCATTTTACACCTGACATGTCTATGTTATTATTAATCATCATACAGAGAGGGATGCATTGGTAGAATTTGATTTTTGAGTGTAAAGTTCGTTATAGTTGTTTAATACCTGACCAATCAGTACAGCTGTGCATGCTGGGAGAGCTATTAAATACCTGAGGCACTTCCAGGTACAGGGTCTTAACTCCTGGGTTTTTACCCTGAGCAGGGCCAGATTTAATCTCCCTGCTGTCCCAAGGCCAGGTTCCGCAATGTGCCTCCTACCCCGCCATGCCACCCCCATCAATGGAGAATGGCAACCGGATGGCAGGGCTAGATTAAAACATTTTTTATTGTTTCTTTATTTTTGTAACTTTTTTATCATTTAATTTATTTATTTTTACATTTTTATTAATCTTATTGTTTATTTTTTTTTATTTTTTTTCTTATTATCGTTTAGTTTTTTTATAATTATTTTCTTATTATTTGTGCTTTTTCATATTTTTTTCTTATTATTTTTTACTTTTTAATCACCTTTTAATTTGTTTTTATTTCATTATTATTTTTTATCGCTATCACACAGGAGCTAACAAAGCCCGTGTGATAGCATTTGGAGGTGACAGGTTCTCTTTATTGACCCTGTCACCTCCAGGACAGGAGTTCTAGTACAGCACTGTGCCTGGAACTCCTGTGACAGCTGAGAGGGGAAGAACACAGCTCTCCCCTCTCGCTGTTTACATGGAGCAGCAGGGTTACTTTTAACCCTGACGCTCTGCTCCCTGCATCAGATGCCATTGAGGAGAGAGACTCGATGGCAGGGGGAGGACGTGGCCCGGAGGAAGGAGCCAGCGAGGAGAGAGGTAGGTGCGGGGGAGGGTCTGTTTACAAGTGATCGCCGAGTTCACTTGTAAACAAACAAGTGGCTTCCTCACACTACACTAGAAACACACAAATGTAGAAAACAACTTACCGCCTGGCGCCCTGAACTGCATGTTCGGGTGTCGGGGGATTCCACACCGCTTCCGCCCCTCTGCTTTCTGCCGCCCCGAGGCCAGGCCTCGGTGGCCTTGTGGGGAATCCGGCCCTGACCCTGAGAGGATGCATCTGTGATCCACCAATTTAGGCCCCAGGCCTGAAGGCTTAGGGGTATGGGAAGCTGTGGGGATCTCCCATCATGGGAGGTGTCGCTAAGATACTGGCTATGTGATGGAGTGCTACTAGGCCATGAAGGAAGCAAAGCTGTAGTTGTCCCCCACAGGGATGATGAGTGACTGAGTTGGGAAGCACCACATGAACCTTTCCACTGCTATCCTACCTTGATGTAAAGACTGAGCATACACAGGAACCTCCGTTCTACAAGGAACCATTTATATTGATATGTATTCCAGCCAGTAGAGTTTTGTGATAGAAGGATTTAGAAAGCTAGAAGACCAAAGACTGTGATTCAAATGTAATTCTTCAGGTACCCTGTGCTCCCTCCATCACCCTAATCCTGTTCTTCATGCACGTGCTATTAACATACCATAAAATCTATTCAATGTGATTGGCGACCATTATTTAACACCACTAGGGAAAGAACTTTACCCTGAGAACTGAGAAGGAATGTGCCTGTGGCATTTATCACCAAGTAAGTGGGTCTAGGACATTCGTGATGAACCTGTTGGCTATGCGAGAGGTCATGTGCCAAAGCTGGTTACCAATAGCGCTACATATGTATATAATAACTTAACATTTTTTTTCTCACACATGGTCCTGGACTTCCACATAGCCAGCCAAACTAGATTGAAATGAAGATTGGTTTATGTCTTCTTACTTTTCCCCTTCTCGGAATGTTTCCTCATCATATGCTTCTTGCATTGATCATTACGAGCAAAATGTTTCCCGCACTTTGTACAGCCAAATGGCTTCTCACCGGTGTGGCAAAGCTCATGCCTGGAAATAACTTTTTTGGTGCCGAAGCTCCTTCCACACTCCAAACACGTGTAGGGCTTCTCTCCTGTGTGGACTCTGAGATGTTCCTCCAGTATTTGTCTACAAATAAAGGATTTACCACATTCTGTACATGAGAAGGGCTTTACCCCCGTGTGTAATCTTTTATGGACAGTGAGGTGGGATTTTGTGATAAAAGTCTTCCCACATTCAGAACACTCAAAAGGCCGCTCCCCGGTGTGGCTTCTGAGATGTACAACCAGAGCAGAGTGTTCAAAAAAGCGTTTACCACATTCATGACATTCGTATCGTCTTTCTCCTGTGTGAGTTTTCTGATGCTTATGAAGACTTGACTTTAAAGGAAAACCTTTTCCACACTCAGAACAGGTAAAACCTTGTTCTCCGGTATGAAGCCTCATATGTATGTTAAGGTAAGCTACACTATTGAAAGCCGAGTCACATTCCGGACATTTATGAGGCTTCTTTTTTAAATACCGTTTCTGGTGTTGTCTCAGGGATGAACCTGTAGAAAAACCCTTCCCGCACTCAGAACATGTAAATGGTCTTTCTCCAGTGTGGCTTTTAAAATGATTCACCAGTTGAGCCTTCGTAGTGAATCGTTTTTCACATTCTGAACAAGGAAATGGCTTTTCAGCAGCATGGCTTTTCTCATGGAATTGGCATCGACTCCTCTCCTTAAAGCTTTTCCCACAAATTGAACAGAAAAAAGGCCTTTCACTTGAGTGAACTAGCTGGTGGGCGGAGAGTTTGTACTTACTGATGAAACACTTCCCACATTCAGGGCAAGGAAAAGGACGCTCTCCTGTGTGAGTTCTGGAATGGACAATTAAATTGGACCTGGTTCTAAACGCCTTCCCGCATTCACTACAAGCATGCGGTCTATAGTCAGTGTGGCCCCATTTGTGCTTTTCTAAATCACCCTTATTGGTAAAACATTTCCCACATTCAGAACATGGGTAAGGCTTCTCTCCGGTGTGAATTCGAAGATGTATCCTAAGGCTTCCTTTGCTGGAGAGGCTTTTCCCACATTCTGAGCAGCAATATGGCTTCTCATTATCAGAAGAGCATTCATGTGTTTGAAGTTCAGATTTGCTCTGGAAAGCTAAACCACATTTTGGACAGGCCGATGTTTTTTGGGAACATCTCCTCTTAGCTCTCCCCTCTGAAGTATTTACTTCTCTGACACAACGGTCCCTATACTTCACTTTACAACTTTTCTGTTTTGGCTTCTCAATTGTCATTGATGGTTGTGAGAGGAACTTACTACTCCCCCCTGACTCTGGTTTCTTAGTCTTCGTTGTCCCCTTTTTTGGGCTCGTAGCATGGCTTCCATCTTCAGGTACACAGTAGTTCTCTAACACAATGTCTTTAGGGTGTTCCTTGGAAGAAGTCTGGGATGCACCTGCAAGCAAAAATGGAAGGAGAGAATTTCACTAAGAACAATAATGTACATCTACACAAGATTATACAAAATTTATTGTGCAAGTATTCAATAGAATAAAAAGATACAATTCATAAGAATAAAAAACCCCCAATGAGCTATACACACACCAAATGCCCAGGATACGCCCAGCTTCAAGCAAATATATCTTAATTTAACATCCAGAATTACAAACATAATTGTCATCAACTGTTCCTTTTCTGGAAGGCTGGCGCATCCAGGTGGCATTCGGGAGCTCACGAATAGCATTGGGGCTGGGGTTCCCCTTTAAAATTCCTACCAGACCTAAAGGGCCTGGTATGGATTTTGGGGGGAACCCCCACACACTTTCTTTTTTGTTTTAACTTGGGGGGACCCTCCTAACATTCCTACCAGACCTAAAAGGTCTGGTATGAATTGGGGGGGAACCTCACGCTTTTTTTCCCTCTTCTGCAGACTAAAAAATAAATAAAACATTTTTTTTTTCTAATGTCATTTTGCTGCAACGTAATTTCGACCAACAAACGTTATATTCAGAGGTTGTCTTTGGGAAATAGACGTATGAGTGCTGCCAGCATTGCTGCCGAGGTTGAAGAGGGGGGGTCAGCCTGCCAGTGCTCAGACCATACGCCGCACACTGCATCAAATTGGTCTGCATGGCTGTCGTCCCAGAAGGAAGTCTCTTCTAAAGATGATGACAAAAAAACCTGCAAACAGTTTGCTGAAGACAAGCCGACTAAGGACATGGATTACTGGAACCATGTCCTGTGGTCTGATGAGACCAAGATAAACTTATTTAGGTCAGATGGTGTCAAGCATGTGTGGCGGCAACCAGGTGAGGAGTACAAAGACAAGTGTGTCTTGCCTACAGTCAAGCATGGTGGTGGGAGTGTCATGGTCTGGGGCTGCATGAGTGCTGCCGGCACTGGGGTGCTACAGTTCATTGAAGGAACCATGAATGCCAGCATGTGACATACTGAAGCAGAGCATCATCCCCTCCGTTCGGAGACTGGGCCGCAGGGCAGTATTCCAACATGATAACGACCCCAAACACACCTCCAAGACGACCACTGCCTTGCTAAAGAAGCTGAGGGTAAAGGTGATGGACTGGCCAAGCATGTCTCCAGACCTAAACCCTATTGAGCATCTGTGGGGCATCCTCAAACAGAAGGTGGAGGAGCGCAAAGTCTCTAACATCCACCAGCTCCGTGATGTCGTCATGGAGGAGTGGAAGAGGACTCCAGTGGCAACCTACTAATCTGGATCTGAACGTGCGAATTGTGGCCGTCAGCGACTAGTCAATGTTAGGGCAGAACGGAGAGTGGCAAGACTGGTACAAGACAACAGAAGGGCCACAGTGCCGTGTCAGATTCCTCGCATCACCTTTCATCATCTCGTGGAGTCACGAGGCGGCCCAACGAAGTCATCTCGTGGAGTCATCTCGTGGCCCAACGAAGTACTGATGGGGTGGTCATAATAATCTGGCCGTATATAACAGTTCTGTGCCTTGTCACACAGTGATAAAGGTAAAGAGGGGCCTATGCCACTCATTGATTGTGCAGCTGTGCTGTGGAGGTGTTTGGATACACTTTAAGCTACAGCCTTTATATTTACAACTTACATTTCAGTCATTTTAGAAAGGGGAAAGTCCTACAATGACAATACTGACCTATAGTGATGTTTCCCAGAACTTCTTTCTCCATTGAATGATGAAGGTTGCTTACACACGGCTCCTTCCCATTCTCAATCATTGCTATCACAGAGGGTTTCACAATGATCCGCCCTGTGCATGTACAATAATAGTTATTTCATTATTTCCCACATTCACAAGTAACCAAAAAAGCCCAGTGATCATTCTAAGAGGTGACAATCGAACAAACAAAAGAGAAGTGTCTGTAAAACACCTACATCAGTTCCTTCAAAACTTTATTTATAACTGAACAGCATGTTCTAATATCAGAGCCACCTACCCAGAGACTGGAGGGTCCGATAATTCTCCATCATCACCTCTTTGTACATTTCTTTTTCTTCTGTGCTCAAACATTCCCATTCCTCCTGAGAGAAGTAAACAGCCACCTCATCAAATGCTCCAATTTCCTCCTAAAGGGAAAACACATTCAATTAGAGTAGAGTATCCTGACCAGCATCTACACTAAGGAACCAAACAACCACATACGTACGTACATACATACATACATACATACATACCAACAGCTGTGAGGACCAGGGAGGTCGAGGAAGGGACCAGGGAGGTCGCTGGAGAGGAAGGAATACCCACCTCTTGCTGACGGACTGCTGAACGAGCCTAGGAACTAGTGAGCAGCCTTTGGCCACCACACCCTTGCATCTGACATTAATCTACAAGTTGCACATTGGACCCCACCGTTGGCTAGCTATATAGATTACCACTGGCCAGTGGATTAGTGACCTGGGACTATTGGGACTGGTATTTAGTGCTCCTAGTCAGTTAATAGCTGACAATTGCATTATCTGCCCGCCCTGATCTTCTGCCTGGACCCGACTTTGCTCTTGTCTCCTGCGTTTATCTACTGGTTGCTAGTTGCCGACCTTGGACTGCCCGACCACCCTCTGCTAGCCGCCTGCCTTGAACTCTGCCTGGTTCTGACTAATGTCTCCTCATTGGAGCCCTGCTGTTCTCGTGCATCCCTTGGCAAGGCAACCCTGGCGACTGCGACCTGGTACCAGCAAGCAGCCTAGCCTATCTCCGCCATCAGGAGCTCTGGTGAACACCGGCTGGTGCTTAGACTCCGCCCCTCAGGTAAGCCTGTGTCATCTGCCAGGGAGTGTCACGATAACATCAAGACCAAATTGATTTAGCACAATTATTGTTTAGTAGGCGTGTTGGGCTGCTGTGGATCCTGTCTAGGTGGTAGATCCTAGCTTGGAGACAGAAGAACCCATGTATTCCAGTGGCTCCCTCTAGAGTAAGTGCTACATATGAAATCAATGGCTGACTCCTATATGACCTGGGACATCTAACAGCGAGACCTCCTGGATAGAATTCCTCACTCTGTTCTTGCCCACTTGGAGGTTTTACGTGTTCCTGACACACCTTTGTGTTTTTTAGCTCCCCATAACATATATAAATACATACTGTACATGCATACATATATACATACCGCATCTGGGTAGGATGATCAATTACTTATGGAATCCTATTGATTTTTGACCTTTTGGAAATTCTACTTGCTTGGCTCCTGTCATGCAGACCCCCTTTCTTCAATACTTTGTGAGTGACTGATTTGGAAAAAGAATGCAAACCAGGAAAAACCTAAGTCCATATCTGCATGCTTGTTTCTGATCATGGACTCAAAACACTGAATCAGGAGGGTCAGGATGACAGCCAGACATCTAGAAGGTCAAAATGAAACCTCCATAATTCTCTCAGGAAAGGTCAACCATATGGTGGTGGGAGGCCCCAACCTGTTGGTGAATGTTGCCCATTAGTCTTACCAGGGCCGGCCGCCCTGTGCGAGAAAGCTTTACAGCGCCCCTCAGTGACCACACCCCTCAGTGGCCACACCCTTTAGTTGCCACACCTCCAGTAACCACACCCATTTATCACCCATATTTTTGGTAAAATATAAAAAGACGGGGTCACGTCGGGTAAATAGACACCAAACATATCATACTTTAAAATTGCGCGCACCTGCAAAATCGCAAAAAATTACCATGCCCAAAATTGACCATAGGTGACGCTTTAAAAGCTTTTACCGCTCATCAGTTTAGTGTTATCAGTGATTGATAGCCCTACAATTATTGCTCTCATTCCGACGTTCGTGGCGATATGTAACATGTGCGGCGTAATGGGCGAAATCGTCGTTTTCACACGTATGCGCACCCGACGCCTGTTTGCATGCGTGTATGTATGGGGGG